TAGATAACTCTGCTGACCTTATAGCCCAGTTATAAACTGTTCGAACTGGATTGGGGAGCGGCTGTCCTGCAGACAAATCCCCACTGTCTAGGAACTATCACTGTTGTGAGCTTTAATAACCTCCTGTCATTGATAATTGAACCGTACGATGAATTGCCCATTATCTTACTGTCCAATTACTATTGCCTTTGCTCAAGGTCAATCAATTTAGTTTGCAGTTGATGTGCTGAGCCAGGGAAATGGATGTTAATGGCTTTTATGCGAACCCCTTCAGGCCTTCAAGTGTTTGTGTTTGTGGAGCGACTCGGATCAATCGCCTCTATCGACTATAGTCTCATCCTCCCTCTTCTGTTTGTCAAAATTATCTAAGTCAGTTAAATGGACAGAAATAAGAGTAGAGGCTCAGGAAACTCTTGATCTTGCCTGTGAGCATGAACAGTTGCAAAGTGGAGTATGAAGCATTACCCTTAATCTGTTTTTATCTACCTCTATTAGACCTGCTCTGGAAGTGATTCTCCTATGGAGTGATTTGTAATGTTGAGAAATATTAATCACCACTATCACTCATTTTTGGTTGTTTAAAAACTCTCTCAGGGGAATGCCAGTACAATTGGCTGCAGCTTGCATTCAGTACTTTATCAATATCGTTCATCCTGTTTGGCTGAATTTCAATCTATTCATTCGTAAAAGCTTTCATTGTCTAAATTATAGGTTAACGTTACAAAATGGTTTGTTTCATCAGTCACTCATTTAAAGTAGATTAATACAATTGTTTTGTTAGTATCCACATCTCAGGCTCCTTTTCACTTCTCGATTTAGCAATCCCTGAAGATATATAAGCCATTTGTCCTCAGAGAAAGCCAGGCACAATACGCTATCAACAGGGACTACAGTAGGCCTGACTCATATGTGATGGATTCATCATTGATCCTTCATTGATGTCCTGAAGATGAAGTGGCTGGCTGTTTTCCCCCTGTGGGATTGCAGCATTGATGTGCTTATAAAGTAGTTATTTTTTCTTTCATTCTTGACACTTTACTAAGCACAGGTTATCTGCATCCATCCATTCATCCATTTTGTTTAATTGCTTGTCCTGATTGCGGTCACTGTGACAGAAGGGTGAGCAGTGCAGCCCACATGTCCCCCTCCTCAGCACTATCCTCCGCCCGCTCTGAGGCCAGCTGGAAGATGTAAT